CCCCAAAACCCCAAAACCCCAAAACCCCAAAACCCCAAAATTTTCATATAATTTTTAAAGTAAATGAAACCTGTGGCATCTGGCAAACTTCAGAGTAAGACAGATACTCAACTTTAGTCAATAAAAGCAAGTTTTATGACCAACGCTCCAGTGAAGCTTATGGTAGTTCATGGAATTTCAGTCTAAAAAAGTGAGACTTCAATGTTATTAATTCTTATCTATACATTAGAGATGTATAATAATATTTAATCAAGCGAGAGCTAAAGCTCTCTATATAACTGACCAAGGCTGGAGCTTTGAAAACCACCATTTCTATCTTCAAGAGATCTTTATTGTTTTAAAAAATCATACTTAATTCTTAGTAAAATTAATGTCCCATAGCCAAAGGAAATCATTTGAAAAGAGAATTGGCAATTTAGAAAAAGATTACAAAAGGAACGGAGCTCATATTCGTAACAGAAGATATGAACAGGGAAATTACAGCTTTAAAATAAGCCAGTATAATGAAGAATTGTAGGGATTATGCCTGATTCATTTTCTAGAAATTCTCCTACTGTAACTCCTCCTAGACCTCCCCAAAGGTTTGCCTGGTACAAACCCATGAAGGGCCCTGGCTTCCATTCAAATCTTTCTCAGCACGGACAGAATACCAGTATCAGGAGCTTAAAACCATTTAAGAAAATGGTAAATTTTTTAAACATTTTTAGAGTCTTAAGCAAATTATGGCGAATTTACAATAAAACTGAGAAAATCGAGGAAAAATAAAAATTTTAAAGATCTCTTAAAGCTTCATGGAAAGGTATGTCTTAGTAGTATAGTTAATACACATCATAGAAGTTGGATGGTAAAGAATCTGAGTCTTAAATAGCTTCTTAATCTACCCTGTGTCTGTTAATTTTTGCTCATAAATTTCTCCATTTAATAATTTATTTAGGCTGTGAATAATGTTCAGAATCGGAAAAGTTCATTTGAAATGGACGACAACCTGAAGGGAAGCCAGTCAGTAGTGCATAACCTAAATTTCAGAAAGAAGCCAAGCAAATTAAGAAAGTTTGGCCATAAGTAAGCTCCTTTGTAATTTCAGTGAGAGATATAACTGGAAACTCAACTTAGAATCCAGGCTTGCCAAGTCACATGGCAGGATCAAGTACCTAAATTTGGTTATTTTTAGGACTAATGAGAGGTTGTATAAGTCTGTAGAGAAGATCTCAAAAGATCGGGGTAAGGTGCTAATTTATGTCTAGAAACAAGCCTTACATCCCTCTCAGAGTGACTAAATGATCTCAGTGAATCTTTTGATAAGAGGAAAAATTACCATTTGAGCACTTTGAAGTTTGCAAAAGGAACTTTGAGGTTGAAAGATCATGGCAGTTCAATTTAAAGAGCATTGAAACTTTTGGGTTATTGGTTTATATCATTCAATAATGTTCATTTTAAATGGGGTTTTGGGGTTTTGGGGTTTTGGGGG